AATATACTTTTTCTTTATAATAAACTGGTGGATAAGATCATTGATCATTACGGTTCAGACGTATCTAATGAATCCATATAATATGAGGTTGATCAGACCAAATGTTTGTGGTAAAAAGAATAAAGAGGCCAAAGCAATTATTGCTGTAAATTGACTGAATATTTTGAGAGTTACAGAAAAAGTTGTCTTTCCAAACGGTGGTGTTAGCAAACAGTTACAGACGTGAGCTGCATTCACTAGAAATACATCCTTGGCATAACTATAGAGAACAGTGTTAGAAAAAGGTAAAAAGAAGGATAAATTGGTTTTCATAAATGCAGGACAACTGTAAAGTATTTCGAAAGTGCTCCACGAGAAGGGATGGAATGAAGTGGCTGGCTAAGCTGGCACCATTGTATTAAACCTCAGCTTAAATTTCCCTGTGTGTATTTCAAACCCAACGGCAGGGATACGCACTGAAAAGCTTGTCTTTTCCCCATTTCTAGCATTGGGTCTACTAAACTGTACTTCTTTTCTGTGCTTTGTATGACTTGCTTATATAATGCAAACGCAACACCCAGGCAAGAATTGTTAAGGTGTAAGAGCAAACACACGTATATGAACAAACAGCTGGAGGACAAAGCTGCTGTCACACGGGAGTGGTTCTCTCTGAGGCTCTAAATACATTTTCAAAGCAGGATTTTGTACCTGATTAGTTCCTGGCTGTAAATTTCAAAATAAATATTGGCATTCAGGGAAAGGTAATTATGAGAGGCCTTACGAAGCTGACCACTTACTGGCAAAAGCAGAAGCTTGTTTAATAATGTAAACAGAATGGGAACCCTTACGTCTGGAGCATTTTGAATCACGTTACAAGAAGATGAAAATAGCACTTGAAACAATGCAACCGAGAATTCCACCTAAATTTGGGCTGAGGAACAGGCTGCAGAGTCACACCATCAGCTGTGTCTGCTGGGTAGACCTTGCCCAATGGTCGGGATTCAAATGCCTGTCTTAAATTCCTGAAGCACTTTAAGTTCTTCACGTGCTTTTAGCAAAAGGTAACACATGGGTATAAATTCCGTTGTGCTGAATTCTTGACACCAAAAGAAAGTTAAGCGGTTAAAAGAATAGTTACTGAATAAATTCAGACATTTACTAAGGTAATAATAAACTCACTGTTGTAAAAACAAGACAGGGATCCAAAGACAGTAGTTAAAAGAATAGTTACTGAATAAATTCAGATATTTACTAACTCACTGTTGTAAAAACAAGATGGGGATCCAAAGACAGTGGCAGATACCATGAGTGCCTTTTGAAGTGCAGAAGTATTGTTAATTTATATTTTTTAAAAAGCCATTAGTTTGAGTAGAGCCAACTTAGTAAAGGAGGTTCAGAAATGTGATGTCTGTCCTTAGTAGATACCTCTTTCCAAATTTTCTCTTTAGCCTTAACCCAGCCCAGAAATTCAAAGTCCTCAAAATGCTGTGACCTGAATCTTTAGGGTTCTAGAAGAAGAACAAGTGATTATCTCTGGACTGCTTGTCTGAAGTAAAACTAATTAGTCCCCTGCTTTGAGAGACAGACTGTACTGCACATGACAGGGACCAACTGTCAGAAAAGAGTTAATGATACTAAGTACTACTTCGCTGGCAAATTCATCAGAACCCCAAAGGGGACAGTGGCACACAACAAGGGGACCCTTTAAAAAGGACCATGACGTGCTGAGGTTCCTGGGCAACCACCAGCTGCACGTCCCACTTGGGCTGAGGCTCGAGGGCAGTGGGGCTGATACGCTACAGGGGGCACTGGCCCCTTGGAAACCCTTATGGAAGTTACAGAAACAAATTATCAATTGTTTTTAAGTCAAACCACAAAACCCCCTCAAGAAGCTTATATAGGATGAATCTTTCTGCTAGCTGATCACCCAGTGGTGCAATCTTCTGATCAAGCCTCATTTGAAATACTGAGTTAGAATGGAATATGCTGAATAACAAAGGTTTACCGTAATTTGGCCAGGATGGGATTCCATGCAAGTTCATAGATAATGGCTTCCAAGTTACAATTGCCTCATTTTTGTAATTCTTTGTCATATCAGTGGAAGTATAATACACCCTGGCCTTTATGGTCACAAGTACTAAAAGAAAAATCAACATAAATACCAGAGAAATTGATTTTTTTTAAAAACCCAAAGTATCAACTACAAAATACCTGTTTCTTAAACTGAGGGTCTTATTAGAAGTATCAGATCTGAGACACTGAGGCCAAAGGAAAAGAAAAATGTTGCCAATACCTAAAAAAAAATGCCAAGGCGGCCCAAAATGATTGTCACCACAGACCAAATGAAACACGATAACCACTGACCCCTATTTCAAACTGAACTATTATTGTTCACCTCCGGGTCAGTTTTATGGGAAGAATGGAAGCTCCATAGACAAAACTCAGGAGAGTCCCCGAGGACACAGACAGTTCCAGCGAGGGTTACAACAGCTACTGCAAGGAGTGATTATGTAGTTTACACATCTTTTTAATCGTTATTCAGATGTAGCCGAGGTTAGGAGATAACAACTGCTCATTGCCAAGGCTTTTGTTATACCTTTAACACAAAGGCTATTTCTAAACTTGCATGGGATTATCTTTCTTGTATAATCTCACAGGGGTGATGACTCCTTCAGGAAACTGCTTTTTAGGCCTTTCCTTACACTAAGGATTTGTTACATTGGTCTATCTGGTTTGCAAAGGTCTTTCCACCACCTTCCCCTTTGGTTATGTTTTCAGGAATGCCCTGGGGCACCCGTCTCCTTCCTTGCATCAGACACTGTGGGTGCCCTCCCCAGTGGTGAGTCCTTCTTCCTTCCAGCCTCACAGGGGCTCTTCCATCCCCAAACCATTCACTCATCGTCCTTTATACGTACTGGGCTCTCGTGGCTCTTTTCTCCACATCTGTCTTCCATGCCTCTATTAATTTTCTTATTCCTAGAGTGAGGTATTTTGTTGTTCCACTGCCTGCTGTTAATAGCTTTGTTCTGTAGACAACTGCAGATCGTATTGAAGCTTCTGGTTCTGCCAGCTCTATATCTGAGCTTCATGTATTCCCTGATTAGCTTTCCTTCTCATCTGATTCTGCTTAAATCCGTAAATACCTATGCAATTATGCCTAGGACGTTCTTTGAGGAACTGATTGGATGGATGTATTATTCACAAGTTTCCATGTCACAACCAAAAAGACAAACGACACCAACCTGAGAATAAAACCTTGCTTCATTTGGCTCCCGGTGGCATCTGCAGCAGTTTTCCTGGGGTGAGCTATTCTGAGGACACACAGAAGCAGGTGTGACTTTCATGTTGCTGTTACGGTGCAGCCATTGTGACAAGAGCTGTGACTAGTTTTCATAAAGATAGTTTGAAAAGACAAAACCAGGACATGTGCTTTACTTCACAGGTAGGTGAAAGAAGGCAAGGGGCACAGCTAGAGAAACCAGGAACCAAGAACAGCCAGCTAGAGAAAGTTCGGTGATCAAAGTCCAAGAAAAGGGTTTTGTTTTTTTTTTTCATGAAATTTGCCATTAGAGATATTGAGGAGGCCTATGTATTAAATTCCTGAGTTTTGAGGCACTGTAATAGAGCTGTCAAACAAAGATATAGAAAGTGCTACTGTTTCCACCAGACATGACAAGCTAAGGATTCCCAACAAAGTACGCTGTGGCGGCCACCTGAAGAGGGATAATGAAAGTGATTACATCAGCAAAGAGGAAGGAACAATCCAGGTAAAGAGTTGGTGGCTGTTTGATCTTGGAGGGTTGCTGTTACCTCCAGTGCAGTCATCCAAAGCTGTCTAAAAATTAAATAGGCTAAAAGAACAAGAATGCCTAGGATTTCTTCCAGGAATTTCTGTAGTTACCTACTAGGCATCAAAGGAGACTTCTTTTGAACCTTCAAATACACAAGGAGGTCACATGCACTTGTGACTGCAGATTTGGTAACCTATTATTCATTATTTTCTTTTATTGATTGTTTTACAGTCCCCAAGGTGTGTGTGTTGCTTTCTGTGCCACCAAAAAAAAAAAAGGTTCTGTAAAATCTGGGTTTTTTTTTACAGGAGTAACAGCAGTTGTCTGTCGTTGTTAATGACAATGGCAGCCTATTTTCTTCCCTATTAATTCTGATTAGGAGGTCTCATACGAATATTAAGTCCAATTTTTACGATCAATAGTGTCCTGCAACCAGGAAAAAAATGTCAGGTTGACCTAAGATATTTTCTTATTTAAAGATTACCTCTAAAAACCTAAAATCACAACAGATTAATGATTTGGCTTAACCACTTTATTAATTTTTTTAGAAGAGACCATTAGATGGAATACTTGGGTTATGCTGACATTCAGGACAAAGAGACAAGCCAAAGCAATGAGAAAATTGTGGAAAAGGAAGGTATCACCCACAAATATAAATCGCCACTAATTAAATAGCTGTAGTTAGAAAAATAATATTCTTGTTTTATAACTCTAGGTGGCAGCAGTGGAACAAAATAGAGAAAAATGTATGCTTATTATTATACTTACTCACTGTTAATACAAAATCCATTAATTAAATACTGCTGATGGTGTTTCTTGACCCACTATTACTTTCATACTCTAGATGGCAGCAGCATCACAAAATACAGAAAACTGAGATTCATTGTATTCCTGCTGTGCCCAAATATGCAGCCACTTCAAGTTTTTGGAGGTTAAAGTTGGAGAGGTCAAAATGCAGATTTCCTGAAAGCATTTTCCCATCACAAAAGAAGAAAAAAAAAGCTGAGGGTGGCTGTTAAATATCATCTGCAATTAGAGGTAAATCACTTCATGTGTTCAGTCTTGAAATTTTAAGTCTTTGCATATATCGGTTCAGAGGAACTTCATATGAGTATGTCTGGTGAAAGGACTGTGAGGTGAAAAGAAGGCATTTGCTTTAGATTACACAAAGTTTTGGTAAAACCTTTTTTGAGTATTATTTGACTGAAAAGCATCACAGGTTCCAGCTGAGCAGGAGGCTGATGCAGAGGTCGCAGCAGGAGGGACTGGAGGTGGAACCACACAACCTCAGCTCCTCGGATGGAGACAAGGCCCCGATGGGATGGAAAGCTCAAGGAGTCCAGGAATGTCTTCCTATCCAAATTGTTACCTGCTTGGTGAGTTGAAATAAAATTCTATGGAGAATTATTTAAGTGTAGCAGCTTTGTTGTTCAGATGGCTGCGGTCTACCCTGTGTCATTTTATGGCCAAGAGAGCAAGTATCCACCAGAGACAGTGTGAGGGGCAGTGTAAGGCCTCACTGAGTATAAACACCAAATATTAAGGAAAATGCAGTGTATGAAGAGATTGTCTTCAGCATGGGGGGGGGAAGAATGGAGTTTACTGCAGAGATAGGGGGTGGGCTTACAGAAGAGGGGGCACTCACTCTCTCCAGCTGGCTGGTGTGTTATCTTCAGTCTCGGGGGTTTCATGAGGGTTAAGAAGGGTGTCACCTGGTCCAGTTTTAATGGTTTTGGGAGTGTGTTTTACCAGACACTTTGTACTGCCCACTGCCATGGCAGGGTCACACTGTGGAGGTGACATATTTGGGGAGTGTGCCTTGTTTGAAGGTACAAATCTGTGCGCTGAGTGCGGTGACCGACTGTGATGTGTCAGTGTCATCTGTGAGTAGGACAATGGGAGAGACACAGACACCAGCTGGGAGCCCACCAAGTTTTTCCTTGACCAATTAATATTCACTCAACATAGAAAGGTTCTCGGTCTGTGAAAACAGGAAACTAAAATTGAGCTGGTATGAGCAGTATTAAATTAGTGAAAGTTAAGGCAGTGCACTTACTGGGTGAATACCAACACAAGTACTTTGTTATATAAATAGGTGTTTGTCAGGCATTGATATATCAGATTGGAATTAAGTGAATTGAAATTAATAAAATCATAAGATCATCAGTTCCACAGAGTGACTGTAAACTCTACATAATTCATTATGAGCTCTTTGATTATAAACCCTCAACAATGTCATCTGTAACTCGGGAGTGGTTAATACTTTGACAGGGCAATTAAAAAACCAAACCTTTAGCACCTGAACAAAACTCTGACAAAGATATGAAGACCTCCTTCCATTTCAGTTCCTCTGTGGTGGTTAATACCTTCCTTTCCTCCAAAGTAAGCTTATCCAACTATTGTTTCAGACTACTTAAAACTATTAGAAAGTTCTCTGGCACTTTTCCCAGATAAACTACAGTTGTATATAACAAACTGGCCTAACTGCATTTTCAAATACTAAAATTAAATTTAAAATATTTTGGATATTTCTCACCAAGCAAAAGAAAGGATTAAGGTAGAGAAAGGAAAAAGCAAATAGTGAAGATTGCAAAAAATGTGTAACTCTTCTGTTTTCTGTTCTTACAGTCACTCGGAAGAAGAGGTGAATGAATGCAAGAAGCAGGTGGTGATGCTGGTACTGTGCTGCTCCTCCAGCCTTCCTTCCCAGCCCAGGGAGAAGCCCCTGTGCTGGGGTGCACAGGCTGCTCCCAAGCTCTGCAGTCAGATGTGCTGAGGTTGCTATTTTCTGGTGAGTACCGCGTGCTGCTTGGCCTGTGAAGCGTGCTACCAGCTTTTTGTCTTGGTGGTCCTTTCTAACATGGTGGTTGCCAGCCAGCCATGTGTGTGAGATCCTTCTGAGGATTAGGCAGAGCTTGGCTGCTCGTCCTGTAGGTACAAGTACCTGCTGGGGGGGTTGTTCCAGCGAGACAGTGATTCCATAGTATTTTTTTCCAATTAAAATGAGATTCCTGTTGAACTTAACGCTGTGGCATTAATTTTGCAAGACGTGTGTGTGCACGTTCTCTCTTTTACTCCCGCCACGCTGTAGCCAGAGTCACAGACAAAGCTGTTCCACTGGTGGGATGAAAAAGCACAGTGAAAGTCAGGGTGTTGTATCCCTCACCTGGGCAACATCTCTCTGTTCCTTCTCTGCTTTGAATAGATTCTTTTAAGGCTTGGCCAACCCCTAATAGTAGAGATCCCATTAGCTGGTGCCTGCTAATGTTGCTGATGGGATGAGGGCAGGGACTGCCGCTGCCTTCTCCATAGTAATATTAATATACATAGTAAGTAGTAGTGTTCTTTTCTGCCTGCCATTTAATTTGTCAGCTGAATAGTGGCTACAAGAGACTAATCAGCAGCGTTCATCGTTTTGTTTATTTCCTCTTCGTTGCAATGACTTTGAATATCTTTTTAGAGGGGAGTTCCTGTGCCTGAGACTATAATGTACTTACCTGCTGTTGAGTTGTGTGGAGAAAGGGCTGAAGCCATGTTCTGGAAAGAATATCTTGACGTGGGGGAATGCAGGAAGAGGAATGAGACAAGGCAGCTATAGAATGTATGTTCTCTTTGGAGAGGGAAAAAAGCATAAAGACACAAACATTTTGTGCATGTGCATGAGTGCCCAGCCTGCTGACACAATGCCACTTCATTGAAGTGGTCCTCTCAGCCTCTGAGGTACCATCGTTAGCCAGAGAGACAGAAATTACTCCTTGCTTTGTGGAATATAATGATCAAGCATAGAGGGGTCTTAATTTCCTGAAATAAGACAATGACTGAAGATGCTGAAAAGCACTGGCTGAGATTGTCACAGCATCCTTGCAGCAGAACCTGCCACCTTTGAAGTGTTCCCCAGCACTTCTTTAATATTATTTTTTCTTATGTTTTGTAGATAATTCCTGTGCAGGAAATTCTCCAGCTAATATTTGATTAGTAAAGAGATCTTTGCTTAATAGCATGTGGAGGTTATGTAGTGAGAAGGACTTTTGTGCAGGAAATCTAAACTGTTCCTGGTATCGATGACTTTGACAGGACCTTTCATTGGAGGTCCATGAAATAAAGGAGGGAAAAGGTCTGGGCAAGGGAGGGGAAAGGCTGGGGCTGGGATGGGAACACCTTATGGGCCAACTCCAGCAGAAGAGCTGTCTCCAAATGACAACAGGCTGTAGTGTTTTCACATATGGAGGATGAAGTTGGCCTTCTCCAGCTACAGGTTAGATGTACCCCAATGGAGATAAAGATCTCCTCCAGTCCATGTTCTGCTGAACTTCATAGCTTAATGAACATTACAGTTTCTACTTAGTGGATTGTAAATGCTTTTTAAAAAAAGCCTCTCCTCTTGATGCACACTTGAGTTGCCCCAAATCCCAGAAAATTCAGTAGATCTCACACTGATGTAAGCACTAAAAATGTCATTGCTTGTTTAGTAACCAGGTTTGAGCGGTGTGTTTTGAACTGAAGAGCTCAAATGTAGGAGAAAAAAAAAATCTCAGCATTTCATACCGAAAGCAACTGTTTTATCTTTGAAGAAGCTGCACCAATAACATTCTCAGCTGAGCACGCAAGTTCTTAGTTTGGTTTTGCTGATAACTAAAAATTAATGATTCAGCTTAAGTCTTAATATAGACGTTTCTCTGTCTGGCATCTGCAAGACTTTCCTCCAGTACTTTCTCTCTCTTAATGCTGTAAACACCAGTATTAGCAATGACTGATTCAGCAACACATACCTTCAACTTGGGAAGCTGCACACAACAGAGCTTCAGGGGGACTGTACCCGATTCAGCAACACATACCTTCAACTTGGGAACAGTGACCTGGCCCCTGCATACAACAGAGTCCTTACAGCCCACCCAGGCTTCTCTTCAAAGGGTACACCTCCAAATCTCAGCAGGCTGTAGAGCAGGATTATTTGGTTTATGATACTGTTTCTATTCTGATAAGGGGTTAAGCAGAGGTATGTTTTTTTCATAAACAAGTTGACCTTTCTTTATGTTCAGTCTTTCCCCCTGCCTTCTAACTGCATTTTACTCCAGGGAGTTTTTCCAGATCCAACCAGGTTAGAGAGTGAGACAGCAATTTTTCCACTTTTTTATGCTGTCAACAGATTTATTTACCAAGTTTCATGTAATTCCATGGGTGCAGATGTATTGCATGAAACTGGGTAAATGATACAAGTTGAAATTTGAAAGGCAGAGGTCTTGACTGACCCAAAGTGAAAGCCTAAAATATGATGTACGTGCAACATCATGAAACGCTGGAAACATGAGCTCCAACTACAGTTTCAGCTCCAAGGTTATGATGTCAGGTCTTGGGTTGCAGGTTTTCCAAACCCAGTGGTACAAAAAAAATTGACCCAAAGTGAAAGCCTAAAATATGATGTACGTGCAACATCATGAAACACTGGAAACACGAGCTCCAACTACAGTTTCAGCTCCAAGGTTATGATGTCAGGTCTTGGGTTGCAGGTTTTCCAAACGCAGTGGTACAAAAAAATCTACCCTTTGCTTTTAAACAGATTGAATTTTGTGCAGAATCCTTGGCAGGCAGTGGTAATATGTCTACTCTGCAGAGAAGAACATGTAGAAAATCCACTATGATGTGTAATCTCATTATCAAAGAGAAGCCAAAGCTTTGATGTCAACAGGAGTCCTTCTGTGGACTTTGATACAGAATTAATTTCTGTAATCTTAATTGTTTTTCCTCTGTCTTAGTATTTTTATTGCACCATGAAATAGCGCTTTCCTAAGAGAGAGCAAACAGTTTGGGGGTTTCCTTTTCTTCATTTTTTTCAATTTGTTTTGGCTTTAGTAGGAGTATTTGTTGTTAGTTGAGTTGCTGAGAAACAGGGAAATGTCCAGAGGGACCGCAGAGGATGCATGTGCCTTGGCAGGGAGATGCAGGTGGCACAGTGGCCTTCTGATGGCACAGGAATGAAGAGCTGTAATTTATTCCAAGTCCCCAGTTGTAATATTTTGATGTATTGTGACAATATAATCTTGTGTGTTAATAACAGATTATAATATGTATATTTATAGGGCAGTATTTAGCCAGATGAAATTTTATGTAAATTCTACTACCTGTGTTTGAACTGATACTGGCTGTTACCGAGAGGGGCTCAAAAAAGGGCACGTCGGAGCTTCAGAATTTGTTGGGATTGTGCCTTTGGAGAACTCTCCTCATGGTTATGTGTCTCCTCCTCACTCACTCTTGAGGATTCCTAGAAAAACGTATTTCATCCAGGAACTCTAGTGTTCTCATTTGGTGATAATAATTTCATCTAGTTGTGTGCCCTTTTCACAGGCTCTGTTCAATGTGCCATGTTCCTCTGTCACACAGAACAGGGATGAGTGAGAGGGAACCAAAACTTTCCTGCAAACAGAAAGGCAGGCTTTATTTCATCAAGCTTAAACAGAAAAGCAAGAGTGACAGGATTTCCATGCGACTGAAAGATTATCTTCTTTAAATGTGTAACTCGTGTTTGCTCTTTATGGGTAGATTGTTAGACTGTATGTTCAGCTCTCTCAAGAGGCATTTAGGACTTCAAATACAGTAATAAATTAATTTGCAAGATAGAGACAATAATGAAAGATTCGATTTCAAACTGCTGTCGTGAAACTTTTGTGGAATTTTCCAACATTGAAAAGCATAAATGACAGCCTTATTTACTTGTGTAAATGAACCCACCGATGAAGGAAAATGCAAGATTGACAGCAGTAGGAAGAGAAGCTCTTTTTTTTTTTTTTTTTATCTAGAGAGATGTGCCTTCCAGCAGTGTTATTGCTATCTTTTTCTGTGTCACTTCCCTCGCCACTTCCCTGGGAGGCCGGTCCCACAAAGCCAGGGCAGATTAGAGACCCGGTGTGGGCAGCCTATGCTTTTCCTGGGATAACTCAGGTTACTCTGGGCAACAAGGAGGCCATGAGTCGACACCCATCCTCTAAGAAAGGAAACCCTTCGTTTACTCAGAGGCTGCTACAAAGCCAGCAGATGGGAAGAGTTTTCTGTCACTCTCTCAGGGCCGGAGCACAAGTCCCCAGGCTCCCGTGACATCCCCTCTGTGCCGGGAGCACAGCGCTCTCAAAAGAAACACTGAAGAGCCATTTAGTGGTAAAGCATAAGAAACATCTGTTGGGGCTAAAGGTGTTAAAGAAATACTTAACTGTACGTGGAGTTGGCAGATTCTTTGGCTGAGATTACAGGGAAAACATTAGCAGCGAAAGTCCACAAGATTTACCCTAATTTATGAGATTACTTCCTCAGAAACTCTCCTTTTGAACTGCTCTTCAACAGAAGAACAAATGTGTAGACTTCAATGCTTAATAAAGCTAAAAGCTTCTCCCTGGGGTAATTGAAATTTTTCTATCAAAGGGTGGATAGACCTGGTTGCAGCTGCAACAAAGAAGAAACATATAAAGCCAAGTGGAAAGCAGTTAGACAGCATTGGTGGTGTAGGACCATTGAACGTGGTCTTGCTAATTGGAATCCATAGCACAGGACATTCAACGACATGCTGGGCAAATGACCCTGAAAGTTTCAAGTCTATCTAGTATAAAAAAAAAAAAAAAAAAAGTTCAGATGTAAAAATAATCATACGAACGACGGATTCTGTATCCTTGAATGGGCATAACCAACCAGAGAGCTGGGTAACTGGCAAATTTCTTTTTTAAATAAGGCCCTTTGAGTCCCGTATATGCATCTACTTTCACAAGCATTTCAAAACCTGTCTTCTAATAATTTCACACAGAGCTTTCAGAGAAGCGATGTTCAAAAGAATGAAAGTAATGAAACACAGCAAAGTTTTACATTTTTATTTCTGCACTTTGGGAAAATTCCTATTGAAGACAGAAGGCAGTTCAAATTGGAATTGCTTTACTGCCAACAAAAATGTGTGACTCTTGATCTAATGAAAAAATTAGAGAGATTGAAAAGCAGGAGTAGACTTAGGAAGGATTTCAGTTACAGCAGGATGCAGCCCTTATTGCATTTGTAGTTCAAACTGTGATCTCTAAGGAGACCTAAATTGCTCCAGACTGTGGAATTTAGGGTATTTGAGACTTTATTTTCTCAAAGGAACAAGTATGGGTAACTAAGATATCAGCCTTTATTGTCGTGCATTTAGAAAACATCTTTTATTTTCATTTAAAAGAAAACATCATTTAATGATAAAACTGTTCAATTCTTCAAACGTTTGTCACATGAATTAAAAGTTGCTCAAAAATGGTTCCATCAAGCGGAACTTGTGATTTTGTTCAAAGTTTCCAGTCCTGCAAACTGATCTGGATCAGCATACTTTGATTTTATACACCAAAGCCACTGTATTTGTGATTGTTATTGGTGTGCACGGATCCACCGGCTCCAAATCTAAACTGTCCTTCTGCCAGGCTCTGTAGCTCTGTGAGCACTGGAGTATTTCTGGGATATGAAACGGCTTCAACATTAACAAAAATTACTTACATCTAAACTTCACAATAGGCTAAGGTATAGGGGTGTCAGAACCAGCCACTTTGGGCACTGGGAACACTTTGCCCACTCTCCTTTGTTGTTCTGCTGAGGCCAAGTACTTGGTATCAATTACTGGTTATGTCTTGCATACATCAAAATGTGCATGTTTAATCCCTGATTTTGAGTATTAGTATTTAATTTCTTAAAGTCGGTGCCTATGACTAAAGTAATAGAAAAGGTTCCTCTGATTTTTTGAGGGAGTTGAATATGATCCACTTGGGAGAACAATTGACGTGGAGATCCTGACAGTGACATATCAACGTTCTTAGTACTTCACCCCTAGGGCACTGAGACTCTGTATTTATCTGCAGTTTCTTTATATATCTAGATATATAATAACAACATATACAACAAACACACATATAATGTAATTTACATATATAAAAATAAAACTGTTGCTCTACAGGTGGGACTTTTCAGAGAAACCTGAAAATATATGTATACAGGATGTTTTAAATTATTGTTCTGCCAACAAATTAGCAGAAACTTTCTTCTTAACTCCCTCCTCTCTTGAAAAGCAGAGATTAAGCCACCTATTTAAAGTCATTCCTCTATCCCTTCCATTCAGGTACTGAATAAAATACCTGCCCAAGCACTTTGCTGCATCGGGGCCTTCAAAAAGTAAAGCATGGCAAGACAGAAACCTGCTTTTGGAACTCCCGACAGCAGAGCACCTTGAGCTGACAAGCAATCTCTTCCTGAAATGAATTATTTTGTGCTTTAGATTGCATCAGGTAATCCTATAAGAACAGAAATAAGCCTTTCACTTTTTTTTTTTTTGGTTAAAATTTTCCAAGAGATGCACTGCTAACTTCTTCCTACCTGTGAGCTCCCTCCTCGCTCTTCCGTACTGCATTCCCTCCCTGGATTGATGGGCATCCTCTGCTACTCCAGACACACCTTTCTTTAACTGCTACTACTTTGGTTTCTGATGTCCTGTGGCACTAAATCCCTACACCTCAGATCATTTACCCATGATAGCAACATGCCCTCTGTCCACTGCCTCTTGCAAATCTTGCTTGGGACTTCAGTGCCTTTTTTTTTTAGAGTAGGCTCTGACTTTTAAGAAATTAAATACTAATACTCAGAACCAGGGATTAAACATGCACATTTTGAGCTAATAGTTCATACCACATAAAACTACATCGCCTGAAACCCTGCTCTGGGCCAGTCCAACACTGGAAATGCAGATATCTCTTTATATGACACTGACATTAAAAGTTGGCCCAGGCATCAAGTCAAAACAAAGGTAGTTTAGACTTGTCTGAGGATCAAACGAGGGCCAAAACTGGAGCAGCAAGAGAGGAAAAAGAATACTTTTCTTGAAAATATCCAGAAGACAGAAATTATTCATTTGGGTTTGTGTGGGTAACGACAGCAATAGGAAGGACATAACTCTTAACACCTGGAGAAGAGAACTTCTAGGACTGGATGTCTGAAGCCAATGCTGTGACAGGCCTGTGCCCATCGTTATTTCACCACGACGTCACACGGCGGCAGAGATCCCTCTCTGGGGCTCAGAGCGTGGCCCTTCCCAGCTTGGAACAAAGTCAAGCACAAGCCGGGTTATTTTTGCTCAGCTGCATCCACCCTGGCATTCAGAAGAGGCAGATGCAAAGTGCTAATGAAAATAACCAAACCAAGCCAAGCCACGACAAGTCATTCTGCGAGAGGGGGAGCTTCCGAGCATCGCGTAAAGTCCATCAAACAGCACTGGTCTCATTTAAGTTCATTAAAATTTCAGCGAAATGACTTTGCAGTTTCTTTGCATTGTGCTGGAAGGAACGTTGTGCTTCCAGCAGGCACTGGCTGCTGCTTCACTCTGCTTTTACAACAGCATCAAACTCTTAGTTCTGTTTCACTTACTGCCCTGGGCTGTTAGTGACAAAGCCAGGCAATGGTGAGCCAGAAGTTCATCCAGTGTGAAAAACCAAGCTTCATATGTTGTCATTCGGTGTGAAATTGCTTCCAGGTAGCAGTTTGGTGCCTGGATGTGTATTTTTCTTTTGCTGAGCACGCACATTATCTTGTGGATGTTGAACAAATGAAACCTGAATCCTATTACTCATCATCATTTCAGCATAAATACAGACAGTAGTCAAAACCTATTTTCTTTTAATATTGGTTTTTAATGTCTTCCTTATATAATTTAATTAGCTCAGTGACTTTTTCTTTTTTAGACCGCAGTAACAGGAAGTAGAATATAATAGTAAACACCCACTGCATTCTGTGGATTATTAACACTTTTTATCCTTCTAAAGGCAGGAGGTTGTTAACCCCAGAACTGTGGAACATTTGAAGTTCATTGTGTCTAGACACAGAAGAATGTGAGTGCTGTCAGCTCTGATACACACAAAATAAACTAGCTCCAAAGATTTTCCCTTTCAAGGTAGGTGTAAATAACTACAAAAGTTAATTTACAATAATAGGAATAGTTCTGATTTCTTCTTTCTCCATACCAGACAGAGGAGTTTGAAACTGCACTGCACAAAACTGTTTTCACACGCACACTCACTTGGCAACACCTTTTGTGGATCCTATTTTCAGCGGCGGTGTCTGCTTACAGCCCTTGCAGATGCAGGGGGGTACGGCACGCGCGGCCCTGCCAGCCTCCAGGCAGACACCCCCTCACTCGTGAACTGCAAAAGGATGCTGAAAACTGGGAGACAGCCTTCTTCAGCTCAGTGTTCAAACAGTGCAAAAATCACAGCAAAGGACAAAATAAAACAAAACACAAGCTTTTCTTTAGGAGTTTTCTTTCCGTTTTTACAACAAACCACTGGCCCTTTACACAGTGGCAGCCCAAAAGGACGGTCTGTATCCAGACCATATGTTTTAATCCCAATTTTGTGCCACAAAGTATTAGATTCCCCACTCTACTTACACAAATCTATTGGAACTGATTTGAGATCTCACAAACTTCCTTCTGCTCCCCACGTACAAGACACGGAATGAAGAAAACATACACATAAATGAGTAGACTTTCCACACTGGGAAGTGTGTAATTTTCCAAAAGAACTTCTCCAGGACTTTTTTCTGAGTTGTAAGAGAGTTTTGTCGTTTGCTAAGACATTTGACCAATCTGATTTTATCTTGTAATATTCTTCCAGTCCTCATCTTTGTTGGATTAGGGATGTGCAGTGATTTACTGAGGGTCTAAGTGCCACCAGTTGCCCAAGCTTCTGCTAAGGCTGGAAGTCTCTGGATGGATGTCTCTCAGCCTTCTGCCAAAATTTCAGAATGAGCAACTGAACCAAAAAGGTTTTTACCCACTTAAAGGCAAAGCTAAATTAATATTTTATAATTATTTTATTTTTTTATGGCACAAGTTGCTAAGTGTTAGCATTTCCCTCCACTGAACAGAATGTAAAACTCACTTTGTAAGTAAAGGCACAAGTCTGAATTCAGTTGACCTTGAGTTTTGCCCAATTAATTTTTACAAAACGTTCTAAGAATGTTTTGCTTCTGGGGTTTTATTTTACTGCAGGCTAGGGAATACGTTCAGTGAAACACAGCAATTCCTTGTTTTGGTATCAGCAAAGGCATTAAAGTTAATTGGCAGAGAAATAACCGATTAGTTTAAAACTACAAAAAATTCTCCAAAGTAAACTCTCAGCCTACTAGTAGTTTAAGAGGGCTATCAATCTGTGCATCTTTTTGTAATTAAATATAATCCTAGTTTTAAAAATCACTATTCTGAGGAGCTATGTTGTTGATTTCACAGTTGTCTCGCTCTTGCCCGCAGCCCTGAAAATGCCTAAAATTTATCTGGTTTTGGGCAAGATGGCCATTCAACAGAGTCTGGTGCCGGCAGGTCCCAGAATCCTGACCTTCAGTTACACAGATGGTAAGATTTCCATGAATTCATTTTTGTATGAACCTGAGCATATCCAATCTTGGGTTTAAAATTGCTACTGACAGGAATCTAAAGAGGCCTTTATAATTTTTTCTTCTACCTGGGTACTTGCGGATTGTGACCAAAAATCATTCTTTCAAAATATTAAAACTCCGCTATGATACTGTTTCACAGGGAGTTACATTTTCAATCCGACATTCAACAGAGTCTGGTGCCGGCAGGTCCCAGAATCCTGACCTTCAGTTCCACAGATGGTAAGATTTCCGTGAATTAATTTTTGTATGAACCTGAGCATATCCAATCTTGGGTTTAAAATTGCTACTGACAGGAATCTAAAGAGGCCTTTAAATTTTTTTTCTCCTACCTGGGTACTTGCAGATTGTGACCAAAAATCATTCCTTAAAAATATTGAAACTCTGCTATGATACTGTTTCACAGGGAGCTATTCTGAGGAGCTATGTTGTTGATTTCACAGTTGTTGCCTGCAGCCCTGAAAATGCCTAAAATTTGTCTGGTTTTGGGCAAGATGGACATTCAACAGAGTCTGGTGCCGGCAGGTCCCAGAATCCTGACCTTCAGTTCCACAGATGGTAAGATTTCCGTGAATTAATTTTTGTATGAACCTGAGCATATCCAATCTTGGGTTTAAAATTGCTACTGACAGGAATCTAAAGAGGCCTTTAAATTTTTTTTCTCCTACCTGGGTACTTGCAGATTGTGACCAAAAATCATTCCTTAAAAATATTGAAACTCTGCTATGATACTGTTTCACAGGGAGTTATATTTCCAATCCTTTTTTTTTTTTTTAATTCCTGAATTCTTGACAATGGCATTTGGAAGGATGAGAGTGGGGACTGGTGGTTTCTTTGTTGGAATTTGTTGGAACCAATACTTTCGAAGTCTCCTATCTTGTAAATATGGTTTATATTGCTCATGATCTATCACCATCGTAAATGGTTTTTCCACCCTAAAAGTAGGCAGCTTTTATTAACTTTCATTATTTCATTTTGAAAGGCTCTTCCAGAAAAAACTTTCTCAACCTCCCATTTTAAACTCTAATTTCCAGACTCAATTTATTACTGGTCAGCCTATACCTATTTGGGAATCTTTCTGCTCGTCTTGTTTTCTGCCTTTTCTAGCCTTTGTCATTGAGCGTTACCTCCTCTGTGTGCCTTGATACTGTGGTTTATATTGCTCATGATCTATCACCATCGTACGTGGTTTTTCAGCCCTAAAAGTAGGCAGCTTTTATTAACTTTCATTATTTCATTTTGAAAGGCTCTTCCAGAAAAAACTTTCTCAACTTCCCATTTTAAACTCTAATTTCCAGACTCAATTTATTACTGGTCAGCCTATACCTATTTGGGAATCTTTTTGCTCGTCTTGTTTTCCGCCTTTACTAGCCTTTGTCATTGAGCGTTACCCCCTCTGCATGCCTTGATATTGGTGGTTTCTTTGTTGGAATTTGTTGGAACCAATACTTTCGAAGTCTCCTATCTTGTAAATATGGTTTATATTGCTCATGATCTATCACCATCGTAAATGGTTTTTCCACCCTAAAAGTAGGCAGCTTTTATTAACTTTCATTATTTCATTTTGAAAGGCTCTTCCAGAAAAAACTTTCTCAACTTCCCATTTTAAACTCTAATTTCCAGACTCAATTTATTACTGGTCAGCCTATACCTATTTGGGAATCTTTTTGCTCGTCTTGTTTTCCGCCTTTACTAGCCTTTGTCATTGAGCGTTACCCCCTCTGCATGCCTTGATATATTTGAAGACAACAATCCTAATCCTTCAGTATTTAATCCTTCACCCTTTATTTTGCTCACTGAAATAAGCAAACCCTTTTCCCCCTCTTTCCAGCCAGGCACCCCAAGAACACAGAATCCTGCTATTTCTTGCTTACTTTTGGAGTCATGAAGCTTCCTCCTGCACTGTTGAACAGTTCCAACGGGGGACAGAGCATGGTTCAACTAGATTTATCACATCTCCCCGACCAGAACTGCTCCATGAAACGTAGGTGGCAGTTTCACTGTGGGATGTTGCAAAATTAGAAGAAAAAAATAACCACCTTACGTCATCTTGTGAAAAAAAGTGGTAAGTAACTACTATCAGAGGAAGACTCTTGAGTTCCCAAAGCTCGGCAAAGATCCTCCCTTTTCTTATTTCAGTAAATATTTAAATACTTGAAGTAACTTAATTTAATAATTGCTTCTGATTTACGTTAAGTGAAAACTAAACTTAGAACAGATTCATCCTCACCAGTCTGGCCAATGTGCTGCAAACCATTATGGCCCACAACCTAATGACAGCCCTGTTCTTCCCCTGATTTCAGGCAGGGATAGCAATCCGCCTCGGCCTCCATCCGTAAACAGCCCTCTCACTCTAACTGCTATCATGTGCACTTCCACAAAAACAAATTTTATCAGGCAAATTCAGACGCAGATTGGCTCAAGCCAGTTCTCCTTATCATTATTGACCAGAATCGGCCCCGTTTTGCAAATGTGGACACCCAGGCACCTCACACAGTTCTGAAGGAAGGTTTTTTTATCCATGTCCTGTTTTGGTCATGCATTCTTTGGTTTTGCTTCTTTTTATAAATCCCAAACACCTTTTTTTAGCAGTTGACATTGAGAGTTTGTGCCTTGGAAGCTGAATAAATGAACCTCAGGATATTCAGTCTTGGGGCAACAAAAACTTTTTGATGTAGAATTCTTGTAGCACGACTGTTTATTTCATTTTATCAGGTTTCCTACTTGATCCTGGAAAGCCCCGAGTGTCTCCCTGCCAATAGGAAAGGGGGCATCTACCATTTTGCATGAAGGGCTCTCTTACCTATGCGTGGCTTAGGCACCATTGACAGGTGAAATTGTGGGTCATTTCTGAAGATTTAAATAATATTTATGATAAAAGGTAACCTCCCACATTCCTGTAGAATAAATATTATGCAAGAATGAGAATATTCACGCACACAGCATGGGAAAGGAGTAGATCCCATAAATAAATATTATGCAAGAATGAGAATATTCATGCACACAGCATGGGAAAGGAGCAGATCCCGTATTGCTTTTTTTTCTAAGCACTACCCCATAGTCAAAGAAAGACTTGAGTTATTCAGTGGAAAAACCATGGAACAAGCAGGGCCTATTGAGGGTTTTTTTCCAATTAATTTGTGTCTTATTTCCCTTCATGTTTCACCACAATGACTCAAGGCATTACCCTCCACAGTGCCTATAACTCCAGCTCCACTTAAGATCTTCAGTTCTTCCCCAACAGGACCCTCCCAGCCCATCCCCGGCCCCTCAAATTACTCATTGCACAAGACAAACATGCACAAATGGCCAAGGAGTGGTGTGCTGGCCATCTGGCATGCACGGGGCCAGCCAGCAGCCGCGGGCCGAGCCACAGAGGTTGGACCCACATCACTCCTTCAGCGGTGGCACATTTGAGCCGCCTTCCCCAGCCACCAGCTTTCCCAAAACTTGTAGGCCTCTGTCACCTGAAATCCAGACAGTCAGACATAAGTTAAAACCGGCAAAAAGGACAGATGTCGTTAAAATGGTCAAAAAAAGCCACTGTGGGAGATTAACATGGAGAAATTAAAAATCCCAACGTGTGATGGGTAAAATACCTTCATGTGCTCCTGTTCCATTTGGGACCAACATGTAACAGCAAAGATCAGCACAAAGGACATTTGAAAGTAGTTATTGATATTTAAAGCTACTGAAAAAAAAAACCAACAAAATGTATTTGGCAAAGATACAGGCCTTTCATCACGCTCTGCATGACTAAGCTTATGTGAGCATTGAGCTCACAGCAAAATTCGGGTCTGATTGGGTTGTGATGGGCACAGAATAGCACAGTCATTTTATTTTTATTTTTTTTTCCCTCTGCAACAGCACATGGAGGTAGAAGGGCCGCATCCTGGAACGGGGCGATTCCCCACTCCGTGCCGGGGCACCGGGCGGCCTCCCCCGGGCCCGTTCGGA